TTTGTGTGACTCTCTTAAGACGGTGATCTCTCTTGGCGCGGCGGCCACCCATTCTCCCTTCCTCTTGCAGATGAACAGCGCCTGGGAAAACCTCAACAAGACCTGGAAGGAGCGTCTCGAGAGGCTGGAGGAGGCCATGCAGTCGGCGGTTCAGTATCAGGACACCCTGCAGGTAGAGGGAGCGGTGGTGTGGGGCGGGGGGGCGATATTGGGCTGCAGGGAAGTGGCGACAGGGGTGGGGGGGTTCCTGCCTACAGCCTGAAGTGGGCAGAGGCACCGCCCTCCCCTCCGTCACAGGGAGGGTCCAAAGAGGTGGATTGGGAGAGGCTGGGAGTGTTTCAGGAACGGCAAGATGGGTCCACCACTGGGCAAATATGCTCTCATGTGAGCCATCACCGTGTAGAGCTGGACAGTTTGAGAAAGTTGACCGCAAAAGAATGGATTTCCTTGAAATGCGGTGCCGGAGGAAAGCTTTGTGGGCCACCAGAAAGATGAACAAGCGGGTCCTGGAGCAAATCAAGCCTGAACTATCTCTGGGGGAGGGGGTGGCAAACATGTTGAAACTGAGGATGATTTCCTGCTTTGGGCCCATGATGAGAAGGCAGGATTCTCCGGAAGAGGCCATCAGGCTGAGAAAGGCAGAAGTCAGCCGGAAAAGAGGAAGACCCAATAACACGAGATGGACTGGTTCCCTAAAGGAAGCCACAGGCTTGAGTGTTCAAGAGCTAAGCCGGGGCAGTTGAGGACCGAACAATGTTGGGAGGCAGCTCACTCAGAAGGTCACTGTGAATTGAGGGCGCCTTGACAGCCCATAGCCGGAACAACCTCCCGAGTCCTGCTTGAAATTTTCCAAATTTCCACCGATGAGGTGCAGTTAAAGCCAGGCTGCTGAGCTGGGTGGAAAATAGAACCAGACCTTTTGTTTCCTGGGGTGAGAGAACCAGAGAGAGAGGGAACAGCCATCAAACATCTGCTTTGGGAGGCTTTCGCCTTGCCGGGTCCTGGGGTGTGTGTGTGTTTGTGTGGGTGTTGGGTGTGTGTGTGTGTATGTATGGGCTCTTCCTCTCTTTCTCCTTCATTGGGGTCCACGTTCTCTTTTGCAGGCCATGTTTGACTGGCTGGACAACACCGTGATTAAACTCTGCAACATGCCGCCCGTGGGCACGGACCTCAACACCGTCAAAGAACAGCTGAACGAGATGAAGGTGTGTGTGCTTTTGAGTGCGGGCGTCAGCAGCGGCACCCCCCTGCCACTGAGCTTTCCCGGAGGTTTGGCGAGGGGGTCGTGGCGGCTCAGGCACCGCTGTGGACCCCGCCTGGAACCGCCACCTTCCTTTCTCCCCCCTTTCTGGCAGGAGTTCAAGATGGAGGTTTACCAGCAGCAGATTGAGATGGAGAAACTGAATCACCAGGGGGAACTCATGCTTAAGAAAGCGACAGACGAGACGGACAGAGACATCATCCGGGAGCCGCTGACGGAGCTGAAGCATCTCTGGGAGAACCTGGGTGAAAAAATTGCCCACCGGCAGGTACGGACCTCAGATTGGTGAGACCATTCAAGAAGGCTTGGACAGTGGTATGATAAAATAGACGGGACGCCAGGGGATTTCGAGGCAGCAATGTAGCCTTTTATCGTAGAAATTGTGAAGTTGAAACTAAATCACCGGCTGTCACTTCCAGCTGCTGAACACCCCCTGGATGCCTGACATAGACCAAGACCAGCTCATCCAAAGGATCTGTTCCTCCTTGCCAGAGTAGAAGGATCAGGGCCCTTTCTTTGGATGCAGTGAGGCTGTGGAAGCCCCTCTTTCTTCTGTCGAGGCCGACGTTTGCTTTCCTTCAGTGTGTTCTCACCCACCCGCTTGTCTCTTCCTCTCTTTTATGAGCTAATTTCTTGGCTTAATTTTTTTGGGCCCTGTCTTTAAATCATCACACATCTTCTTGAGCATCCTTCTTTCGGAGTCCGGGGGGGCGGGGGGAGGAAAACCTGTCGGCAAAAGAAAGCCAGCTTCTGTCCCTCTTCTGCTGCTTCTCACGGCCCTTTGCTGTCTTGTCTTCTCCAAACAGCACAAGCTGGAAGGGGCCCTTCTGGCCCTCGGGCAGTTCCAGCATGCCCTGGCCGAGCTGGTGGCCTGGCTGACCCACACGGAAGAGCTGCTGGATGCCCAGAGGCCCATCAACGGTGACCCCAGGGTCATTGAAGTGGAGTTAGCCAAGCACCATGTAAGTGCAAGCCAGGGTCCGGGCTGAGCTCTTTCGGGTAAGCACCTCGGGGGTGGTGGGGGTGGGGGTGGGGAAGCCCTGCCTCCATGGGTCAAAACACTGGCTGGGCTTGAAAAAGCTTGGGATCTTAGAAAGTGGCTGGGAGGGAGGGGACGTGTGCACCCCTAACATCCCTTCAGCAGAACTGCCTTCTCCTTTTCCAAAGAGCCCCTCGGGGCTGCCCTTGCTGCCGTGCTGTCTCACAGCCAAGCATAGAGGCACCAAAAGGAACCGAAGCTTTTTGCAGGCAGGATCAGGGCCACACTGGGGCCGTCGGCCTGTGGCTGTGCCTTCGGCCACCCTTTGGCCTGGGAGTGCAGGGGTCCTGGGCCCCTCGCGGGGACGGCAGGGGGCCTCGTCCACACGGCTTGCCTATCTTCCCCTCTTCTTGGTGGCTGTCCCTTTGGGGCGCGGCCCTGGACGAGTCGCTCCCCAAGCCCATGGGGAGGGAACCCCACTTCTTTCTGCATCCGGGCGCCTCACAGAGTCCTAAGGCTCCTCCTTCCTCCCCCCTCTACCCCCCACCCCCATCGCTGTCCCAGGTGCTGAAGAACGACGTGCTGGCCCACCAAGCCACCGTGGAAACGGTCAACAAGGCCGGCAATGAGCTGCTGGAGTCCAGCGCCGGAGACGAGGCCAGCAGCCTCCGGAACCGGCTGGAGACGATGAATTCCTGCTGGGCGTCGGTGCTGCAGAAGACGGAAGAGCGGGAGCAGCAGCTGCAGATGACCCTCCAGCAGGTCTGCGGGAGCCCACCCCCGCCTGCCCCATCCCCTCGCCCTTCAGAACCCCGGGGTTGCCTCCCGTCCCCGTCCGTCCGGACTTGCGGCCCCTCGGCTCGCTCCTCTTTGCAGGCAACGAGAGAGGAAGGCTCTCTGCCTCTGCGGCAGAATTGGCCACCCCTGGAGAGTCAGTGCCGTGGCTTCAGCAGGGGAACCCCCAACGGTCCCCTTTGGGAGGCCTGAGCGAAGCCCATAAAAACTTAATCCTGGAAAGGGCTGGATGGATGGTGTGTGTGTGTGTGTGTGTGTGCGTGCTTGTTCTTTTCTGCACTGTGGCTCCAGAGTACGGGTTCCGGTTTCTCTGGTTTTGAAATTTCCTGGGATCTCATCCCAAGACCTCAGAAAAGCACACAATGAGCAGGGTGTGTGTGTATGCGTTGTCTTCCTCTCCGGTGGGGAGACGCCTCTTCCTGCTCTGCTCAGTCCCCCCCCCCTCGGCTTTGTCGATCTTTGCAGGCTCAGGGTTTCCACGGGGAAATCGAGGACTTCCTTCTGTGGCTCACGAGGATGGAGAACCAGCTCTCGGCCTCCAAGCCGACAGGCGGCCTCCCGGAAACCGCCCGGGAGCAGCTGAATGCCCACATGGTGAGCGGCGGCCGCCGGAATTGTCCCCAGGTGTCGCAGGTCGAGTCGCCCCTTCACAGTAGAGGTGCAGGGAGCCCCTGTGTTTGGACTGCCCAGGCGAGGACGAAGGCCTGGACGAGGGGAGAAGGGCAGGAACACGGGAGGGGGAGAGAAACCAGCAGACGGAGAGCCGTGTTAATTTGTGGCAGGAAAAAAAAGCCGGGAGCCTTCGGGCATTTCGCTGTGGTTGCGATGTCCCACTAAGTCGCCTCCGGTTTATGGCGGCCCCAGGAAGGAGCGACCTCCAAAAGGCCCGTCCTCATCACCTCTGCTCAGGTCTTGCAAACTCAAGCCTCTGGGAGGCTTTCATATTTAGTCTTCCTCTTTTCCTACTGCCTTCCACTTGCCCCCAGCATAGGGAACCTTCTGCCATTTCCCTGTGGTTGTGATGTCTCACTAAGTCGCCTCCGGTTTATGGCGGCTCCAGGAAGGAGTGACCTCCAAAAGGCCCGTCCTCATCACCTCTGCTCAGGTCTTGCAAACTCAAGCCTCTGGGAGGCTTTCATATTTAGTCTTCCTCTTTTCCTACTGCCTTCCACTTGCCCCCAGCATAGGGAAGAAGGGGACTATTGTTCACAGAAGCCAAATAAGTCTCACTAGGCTTCAGTGTCCCAGAAGGCCCCTTGGTGTTTGTGGTTAAGCTGAGTTTCACCCTGGGTTGTCCTTTTGTCACCTGTTGAAATGTTCAAGAACATCCCGTGGTCTCCCAGCCAGTCACCCGGCGTCTGGATCCCCTTCACACATAAAGGGGCTTGCGGAGGGAAATGTGTAAGGCGTGGAGTTTAGCTCCGTGTCCCTTTCTAGGGGGATACAGGGGGGAGCTGCATCTTCTGGCACAAGAGTGCCAGCGCCAAACCAGTACATGGTAGCTGGTATTTTCCCCACACGGGGACACCCTTCCCCTGTTGTCTTTGCGTCGTGCCACGTGTGTCAAAGATCCGTTCTGTTTCAGGAGCTCTACGCCCAATTCAAGGCCAACGAGGAGGTGCACAGCCAGCTGCTGGCCAAGGGAAGGCTGATGCTGCTGAGCCGGGATGACTCTGGTTCGGGATCCAAGACGGAGCAAAGCGTGGCTCTTCTGGAGCAGAAATGGGGCCTGGTCAGCACCAAGATGGAGGAGCGAAAGGTACAGTGCAGGAGGGATGCGGGACCGTGTGTGTGCGCGCCCCACCCACTTGTTGGATTCTTTATTCCTGCAACACAAAGGAGTAGGTTGAGGGGCTTCAGATCTCCAGGGTGGCCCCTGGGGAGCTGTCTGTGAATTCACAAAGGAAACGTGTGTTTCTGAGAAAATAAGGCGGCGAGCGCTCCAGCACTAGAGACCTTCAAGAGAAAACTGGACGACCATCCATCGGATCTGCTCTGATTCAGATCCCTGCCTTGAGCCAGGGGGTTGGACTCGATGGCCTTCAAGGCCCCCTTCCTGCTCCATGATTCTAGGATTCTAAGCCGTTTCCACGGAAAAGTTAAGCTTCCACTTTGGGATTAAGTATGTTTGATTGGTCAAACCTTAAGCCTTTGGCTCATTTCCTGATCACAAGTTTTGGTTGCCCAGAATTTCTGGGTAGTGGAAAGGATGTTTCAAACGTTGTTGTTTAGTCATTAAGTCGTGTCCGACTCTTCGTGACCCCATGGACCACAGCACGCCAGGCCCTCCTGTCTCCCACGGCCTCCCGGAGTTGGGTCAAGTTTCAAACATTGCCTAACCACAGTCCTAGTTTTGCCATTTACTGGGTGCAAGGAGACGCTCATGGGGGAAACCTGCCTTCTGGAGGGAGACCCCCCCCCATTCTTGAGGCGCCTTTCCTGCAAGCACAGATTCGTTTCATTCGTTCATCACAAGAATAAGAATGAAGGTCACGTCTGCTAAACAAGAAAAGCCTTTGGCTGGCCTGGTGCAGGTCGTGGTGTCCAGGGCCCTTTCTCAGCTCCCCCCCTTTTTTTTCCCTTTCCCTCACCCCTCCACCTTTTCTCCCTTCGTTCCCAACGCAGTCCAAGCTGGAAGAGGTGCTGGGCTTAGCCACGGAGTTCCAGAATTCTCTGCAGGACTTCATCAACTGGCTGACCTTCGCTGAGCAGAGCATCAACCTCGCTTCTGCGCCCAGCCTCATCCTCAACACTGTGCTCTCCCAGATAGAAGATCACAAGGTGACGACCACCGGGCAGCCCGTGCCGGAGAGCGTGTGCTCGCAGGCCATGAGAACTTGCTTGGCCAGCGCTCGTCTACGTGGCACTCATCTACGTGGTAGCTTAAATATGGGGCATTCACTTTACGGTTCTGTGTGGTTTCCCTGGGGCTGGAATCGTGCGCACTAAGAGTAATATATTACCCATGGTGAGACCAACTTGCACAAGCCCTTCCAGTTAAATTGTCATTATGGGGTGGAACAGTTGGTGGTTTCTCTCTCATTTTCTGGCTGTTGTGCCAGCCTCCCTTAAGTCTGTCGTTATGGGGCGGCCCGGTTGGGGTTTTCTTTCTCATTTTCTGGCTGTTGTGCCAGCCTCCTCTTTGAAGTTCTGCTCAGCTGCCTTCTCTTTCCAGGAAAGAAAAAGCTTCTTCCCCCTTTAAATCCCCTTTCTGTGCATTGAGGGATGCCTGAGAAGCCAAGATAGAGCAGGGAAGGGATTCATCCTCACTCACTCGCTGCCCTCCCTCCTCCAGGTGTTTGCCAACGAAGTCAACGCCCACCGGGACCAGATCATCGGCCTGGATCAGAGCGGCAACCAGCTGAAGTTCCTCAGCCAGAAGCAGGACGTGGTCCTGATCAAGAATCTCCTGGTCAGCGTGCAGTCCCGTTGGGAGAAGGTGGTCCAGCGCTCTGTGGAAAGGGGCCGAGCACTGGACGATGCCAGGAAGCGGGCCAAGCAGGTGGGGCAGACGCTGCGGGGAGAAAAGGGATGTGCGGGGATCCCGAACCTGCGTGGAAGTGGGGCCTGGGAAGCAAAGCATTACATTCTAAAGACATTCTTCTGTGTATACCTTTTTTCCCATCCCTGCAGTTCCACGAAGCTTGGAAAAAGCTGGTTGATTGGTTGGAAGATGCGGAAAACCATCTGGATTCAGAGCTGGAGATCTCTAACGACCCTGACAAGATCAAACTGCAGCTGTCTAAGCACAAGGTAAGAGAGTCCGATTCTGGTGCCGCAAAGCCTCCTTGGAGTCATTTAGAGCAGGGCTGGGCCAGAGGTGAGAAATGTCTGCAAACAGCACACACACACCTGACCCGACCTGACCGATTGCCCTCGACGACCAGGTCCCTGGGATGCCGATGGTGGGGATTCTTCTGAAGGATGCTCAGCTGTTTGGCCCTCGGTCTGTTCCCGCCAGGATGGAGCTCCTTCTTACAGGGTCAGAGTAGCTGGCACACAAGTCAGTGGCGTGAAGGGGTCTTTCATGAGAGGTCTTGCTTTCCAGATTGACCAGTTATCAGTGGATGGCAGGCCTTCTGGGTCCCAAAGATAGTGCCACGGCTCACGTCTCCTTTTCCCAAGGCTGGGTAGAAAAGTTAGCTTGCTTGATCAGTGCCTTAAACCACCATAAAGTGAGCATTATCTTCTGGAAGGCCTCAGTTCAGGGAATTCTAGGGAAATTATCCCCAGTGATGGAACAGAAAGAGTTATTTTGATAAGTGCGGTTGATTGAAGTCGTTGATTCCGTGTGGTTTTGCTCGCACCTTAATCATCACCCAGTGGCAAGTAGGGGGTTGAACTCCGGTTGTGCAAGTATTAAATGTGAAGAGGTGTTAGGAATGAGAAAACAGATGTTGGCGAAATATGTTTCTGGGATGAGTGAAGCCTTCCGTGGTTTCATGGCTTCATTCAGTTTGACTCTCTCTCTCTCTCTCTCTCTGCTGGTCACACCCAACAGGAGTTCCAGAAAACCCTGGGTGGCAAACAGCCCGTTTACGATACCACCATCCGGACGGGTCGGGCCCTGAAGGAGAAAGCTCAGTTCCCGGAGGACACCCAAACCTTGGACCATCTGCTTGGGGAGGTCCGTGACAAATGGGATACGGTCTGTGGAAAGTCTGTGGAAAGGTGAGAAGGGCTCCCAAGGGCTTCCTCATAGCCCCACGGGGGGGGGGGATCAGGCCCCAGAAACGGAGCCTTCGTGACTCCTAGGAAAGCGGGGTTTAGAAACCACTCTCTCTCTCTGCTGGTCACACCCAACAGGAGTTCCAGAAAACCCTGGGTGGCAAACAGCCCGTTTACGATACCACCATCCGGACGGGTCGGGCCCTGAAGGAGAAAGCTCAGTTCCCGGAGGACACCCAAACCTTGGACCATCTGCTTGGGGAGGTCCGTGACAAGTGGGACACGGTCTGTGGCAAGTCTGTGGAAAGGTGAGAAGGGCTCCTAAGGGCTTCCTCATAGCCCCACAAGGGGGGGGGATCAGGCCCCAGAAACAGAGCCTTCGTGGCTCCTAGGAAAGCGGGGTTTGGAAACCACTTGCTAATTTGATGGGTTAAGGTGCTGGGGAGCGGCCTTCCTCGTTAGTAAGAGGTATTATTGGGCCAGTTGGCAAAAAAGGAGGTGGGTTCAGGTCTGTCGATCGGCCCAGAGCCTTCCCAGGCTCAGCAAAGGGGCGGCCAGCCGGGAAGCCACGAACCACCTCTTTGCCCTTTTCGTTCCTGCAGGCAACACAAATTGGAAGAGGCTCTACTCTTCTCCGGGCAGTTCATGGACGCCCTGCAAGCCTTGGTGGATTGGCTCTACAAGGTGGAACCGCAGTTGGCCGAAGACCAACCTGTCCACGGGGACCTGGACCTGGTCATGAACCTCATGGATGCCCACAAGGTGACCGCCCGGGGTGGAAAGGATTGGGGCAAGCTCAGCATCTCTTCGCTTCAGCAAAACATCCCGGGAGGTTTTCCTTGTTGACAAAACGGTAAAAGGCTCCAGAGGTGGATCTGCAGGTTGTTGAGCATCCACCCTTAAGAAGGTTTTCGGGTTCTCCTAGACCAGGGGTTCCCGAACTGGGCTCTCCGAAGGTTCTTGGACTGCAATTCCCAGAAGCCCAAGGAGGCCTTCGGGTTCTCCTAGACCAGAGGTTCCCCAACTGGACTGCAATTCCCAGAAGCCTTCACCTCTTGCTGTGCTGGCCAGGATTTTTGGGAGTTGTAGTCCAAGCATATCCGGGGACCCACCTTTGGGGACCACAATTCTAGATCCTAGATGCTGCTGGCCCCTGTCTTGCAGTCCTACCATAACACTGTTTCCCCCCCTCCCACCTTGATTTCCTTTAAAAATCATCATAACAAAGGGCTCAGCTACAGTTTTACCTCCAAAGCCTGGTGCTGATTGAAGGAGTTGCCAGTGGTGATTGAAAAGGGAAACATTTAATTGCCTTTCATTACATGCCTATTGCCCAGTCTTTCCTTTGTGATTTAAACAGCCTTTGTGATTTAAACAGTCTTTGCAAGCTTTTGTTATTGAAGTAGATTTTGCAAGCCTTTGTTATGTAAATAGCCGCTGTTAATTTACATCTCAGTATGTCAGAGAAGGATTATGAAGAACTCTTTAATGAATTAACATTAGATTTAATAAGAATAATTACTCATCTGAGAGGATTTGTGGGGAATTTTAAAATTATTATTAAGAAATGTTGTACTAAAATAATTTTAAAAAACACCTGTAAACAGACAGAAAGATTGAAAGGTACAATATATATGTTCTATAAAATATAACTTCTAAAACCCACTGATCTTCACTCCCCGTCCTTCGGCCACATCGAACTGGAATTATAGAATTTGTAAATCCGGTGTGGAAGAGCAGAAAAGAGCTGGAGATGTTTAGCCTGGAAAGGGGGAGATTGAGGGGTGGCAGGAGTGACACGGGTCAAGCCTCTGAAAGGGCCTTTTGTGAGAAAGGGAGCAGAATTGTCCCCTGCTGATTCAGCAAGAGGGGCTTCATGGCGTCTTACCATTGCAGAGCAGGGGCTGGCATAGCTCTGCCATTCTCCACCTTGGGCGTCCCGGGTATCCTTGGACTGCAATTCCCAGGAGCCTTCAACACGAGCTGTGCTGGCCTGCGGTTTCTGGGGGGTGGCAGTCCAAGAACTTCTGGGTGACCCGGGTTCAGAGACCCCTGGCCTAGATGGTTTCAGAGGTCCCTTCCTGTTCTTTGATGGTGGTGATTTAGTGGATTGTGGCCTTTGTCGAAAGGAGCCCTTCCCCTCTGTACCTGTGGGTGCCTTCATACAGGCACTTCGTCTGTTTGCAAGCGCTGTGCTCAAGCCCTAGGAGAGGGAACGCATCTTGTCGTCCCCCCTGTGTGAATGAAGTGTGCGCCCCCCCCTTCCCCCTCCGGTAGGTCTTCCAGAAAGAGCTCGGCAAGCGGACGGGGACCGTGCAGGTGCTGAAGCGCTCGGGCCGGGAGCTGATTGAGAACAGCCGCGACGACACCACCTGGGTGAAGGTGCAGCTGCAGGAGCTGAGCAACCGCTGGGATACCGTCTGCAAGATGTCCGTCCTGAAGCAAACCCGCCTGGAGCAGGCCTTGAAGCAGGTGGGGGGGGGACGGCGGGGGGTGAGGGAGATACAGGAGGAGGCCTCCCTGCCCCTGGGAACTGGGCACGATCCGTTTTGGTCCTTGTTGGCCCTCCAGGAGGACCGGGAGGGAAGGGCTGGGCTGGGGATGGAGGTGCGTCGGCTGCGCAGCGTTCTGCAAAGATGGCCAACGTGACCCGTGGACAGGTTTCAGATCCTTGTGCTGCTTTCTAGAAAGTGGGGCACTTGGAAGCCCCTTTGTCTGAATGGGTGGGGTGGGGTGGGGGGGTGGGGGACTATGGCCCGTACCTTACAGGAGTGCTCAGTCAATGGGGTGACGCAGCTCCATCCCTCCTGGCCTTGTTGACCCTCTGCTCCTGGTGCTCTCTTGTTACATACTTGGCCACAGCTCCCATCATCCTGTCTCAGGAGAAGTGGGATGACTGTCAGAACATGCCCGTCTTGTTTTGAGCTGTTAAAAAAGCAACTCAAGTATGGGCTTCTTTTCCTTGTGCATTTGGGCTAGCCGGGGCAATTAGCAACAGGGCAATTAGCAAGGGGACCTCACTTTGTTTTCCAGCACTTCTCTTCATTTGGGGTTTGGGAAAAGATTTAGCTCTTTAGGTTCGTTTTGGGGTTGTTGTTTTTTTTAAGGCTTTGTGAAATGGGGAAGTGGTCCGGAGAGGAGAAAATTCATTCTCCAAACACCACCTCTGTAATTAAGGATGAGGTTAATTCATGGAGGATGGGCTTGTTGGCGATTCCTCAGCTGGATAGGCAAAGGCTTTTTCCACGGAGCTCCCCAAGAGTCGTGGCTGGGGAGGCCACGCCAGCCGTCGTCACTTCCCTGGCCTACACTTGAACCTCCCAAAGCAACAGTGGCTGGAAAAAGCGAATCAGGATAGGGGTGGCCCGTGGCATAGCCACGTTGGCTGCCAGGGGAGGATGACTTGAAGCCGTTTCTCCTTCCCAGGCGGAAGAGTTCCGGACCGCCGTTCATTTGCTGCTGGAGTGGCTCTCCGAGGCTGAGCAGACTCTCCGTTTCCGGGGAGCTTTGCCCGACGATGCCGAAGCGCTGCAGTCCCTCATTGATACGCACAAGGTGAGCGGCTCTCCGGAAGAGAGGGGAACCGGGGTTCATGGGGGGGTGGAAGAGAAGGAGGTCGTGGCGTGTCTGTTTTGGGGCACCGGGGATGGTCACGGTCTCTGTGTCGCCTTGCCCAGGAGTTCATGAAGAAAGTGGAAGAGAAGAGGCTGGACGTGAACACGGCGGTGAGCATGGGGGAGGTCATCCTCACGGTTTGCCACCCGGACTGCATCACCACCATCAAGCACTGGATCACCATCATCCGAGCCCGGTTCGAAGAGGTGAGCCCTTGGGGTCTTCGCCGTTGGCGGCAAAGAGGTCCCTGCTTCCTTGTGGGTGCCGCCGGCCGGCGTGGCGCTGAGAGACTTCACAAAAATCCTGTGGGTCGAGGAGGATAACGGTGGGCAGGTGGGCGGGCAGGTGGGCGGGATTCTAGGCCACCCACCGGGGGTGGAAAGGCACTCCGGGCGGTTCCCAGCATTGGAAAAACAACAGTGAAAACAACATCACTATCAAAGCTATATTGACAATCCATGAAATACATTAAAAACCAATTATCAAATCGGCAGTGATTAAAACAAGTCAGTTGTTTTAGCTGCGTGGTTAATTTCTTAAAAGTATCACAAAAGGTGCAGAATGTGGAGGTCCTTCTATATCGTAAACAGGATACAGTGGTGCCTCGCATAGCGAGGTTAATCTGTTCCGGATTAACCTTCACTATAGCAAAACATCGCTGAACAGATCAAAAAAACCCAAATGGGCCGAAAACTCACAGTTCAGCGATGCTTCCTATGGCCGGCAGCCATTTTTACGCCCTTGTTAAGCGAGGGGAGAGCGCGAAAACGCTGCGCATGGCCATTTGGGGGCTTCCGGCGGCCATTCTGTCCGCCAAACAGCTGATCATCGGGGCTTCGTTTTGCGAAGATCGGTAAGCGAAACGCTTGCCGATCTTCGCAAAGCGAATTTCGCCCTATCTAAACGTCGTTGAGCGATCGCATTAGCGATCGCGGAAACCGCATCGCTATGCGATTTCGTCATTGTACGGTGCGCTTGTTAAGCGAGACACCACTGTATTTCCCCAGTTTGTCAAAGGCTGGGTGGTGATTCTTTCCATGGAGGGTGGGGGTAGACTGGTCTGCTCCTTTGTTTTCATAGTCTAAATTATTTGTACCTATTCTTTGAATGTTTCCACCACCAACACCACCCCCAAGTAGCTCATATTGAAATAGATCTTCCTGGTTTCTGTCTCTTGCCAGGTCCTTGCGTGGGCTAAACAGCATCAGCAGCGTCTTGAAGCTGCCCTTTCTGAGTTGGTGGCCAATGCCGAGCTGCTGGAGGAGCTCTTGGCATGGATCCAGTGGGCCGAGACGACGCTCATCCAGAGGGATCAGGACCCGGCGCCCCAGAATATTGAGCAGGTCAAAGCCCTCATTGCGGAGCATCAGGTAAGGGTGTCCCCACTCCCTCCCACCACCATCCCCCAGGACTCCCGGCTTCTCCTTTCCCTCAAAATAGAGCCTATGGTGTATTTGAGAATGGGGCCAACAGGGATTTGGGGGCAAGACAGAACTCAGAAAACCGACTGATTTTGGAGCGCATGTCATTGCGCCGGCTGGGAGAGACCAGAAGCTGTGCTCTGGAAAAGCCACCCTTTGCCTTTTAGGAGTCAGTGACATGAACACCTGTGCTGTGGATCTACCCTTCTGTATAATCTAGAGCTGTGTTCCCAGGTTCTTTCCTTACATGATGCATTAAACTACAGTCCCCATCATCCCCACTCAACAAGTTCCTAGCCCTGGGAACTGCAAAGAGGGACTTAGGAGCTGTGATAGCCGTGGCTGGTGGAATCGGGCAATCCATGAAGGAGGGAAGAATAAAGTTTGATTGGCCCAGGATAAGGTTCGAGTCTCCTGATACAGCGCCGCTTGTCGTAAAAGGACAACAGGAACCCAAAGTTAACACACACACACCCCTAAATATTCACTTTTTCCTCCCCTCTCCCCGGCGGGTGCTCTTCGTCTTGCCTTGGCCAGGCCTTTATGGAAGAAATGACTCGGAAGCAGCCCGATGTGGATCGTGTCACCAAGACGTACAAGAGGAAAGCCACCGAGCCGGCCCACGGACCTTTTATCGACAAATCCCGAAGCAGCCGTACGTCGGGGGCCGATCTGGCTTTGAGTGCGAGGGGGTTTGGGGCGTGGGGGCAGCCGGGCCGTGTGGCTGGTTTGATGGAAGGGAGCGTCTCGTGGCTGCCGTCTCTGGCCTGGAAATGTTCCTCCCCAGACTGGGTCTGTTTCCCCTGCCCCCCCCCTGGAGAGCTCAAGCTTTTCTTTTCACATCTTGTTGGGTTCTTTTCCTCCCACCCTCCAGGGAAGTCCTTGAACCAGGCCGCCCCTCCCCCGATGCCCATCCTCTCCCAGTCGGAGGCCAAGAACCCGCGCATCCACCAGCTCTCGGCGCGCTGGCAGCAGGTGTGGCTCCTGGCCCTGGAGCGCCAGCGCAAGCTGAACGACGCCCTGGACCGGCTGGAAGAGGTGACTCCCAACACCCCTTGAGCCTTTGACCCAAAGCCCCATGGAAGCCCTTCCTGGTTCGATGTTCTAGCCCAGGAAAAAAGGGGACCGGAGGGATTTTGCCCAAGAGAGTGACTTCTCCACAGGAACCGAGGGCCACCTCGGAAGTAAAAGCGAGGATTCCCCCAGCCCGTTTTTTGTTTAAATAAATTATGCTGTTCCTACATGAATTCACGGTAGATTACAGTGTCAAACCAGCACCAACCAAATGAACGGGGTTTCAGCAATCATGGTGCCTGATTTCAGCAATCATCTAGCCGCCTAGAGTGGTCCGGTGGTGCGGGGTTTCAGCAATCATGGTGAAACAGCAGCATTATCCAAAGAGCAAGCAGAGCAGATGGCATGGTTATGGGTCAATATGGGGTGTGCATTGTGCTTCTCTCCCCCACCAGCCCTTCTGCATCTGGGAGGAGGGGGTGTCCAGTATTTATGGTTCTCCTGGGACACTTGTAAAAGAGGTCGTTTTCCTAGTAAAGAAAAAGCTTCTTCCTTTCCACGTTAACATTGATGCGTCCTTTCCAAACCCCTTTCTCTCTCGCTGAACCTGCTCCCAGTTGAAAGAGTTTGCCAATTTTGACTTCGACGTGTGGCGGAAGAAGTACATGCGCTGGATGAACCACAAGAAGTCGCGGGTGATGGACTTCTTCCGGCGAATCGACAAAGACCAGGATGGGAAGATCACCCGGCAGGAGTTCATCGACGGGATCCTGGCGTCCAGTGAGTGCCTGGTCTTCCTCCCACCCCTGTCCTTCTGCCCAATCTGGGAAGGCGCGGCGCTTGGGTGAGACAAGGGGTCAGTCCAGCGGGTCGCTGTCCAGGAGCTCAGCTGAGCGCCTTGCCTCCTGTCCCTCAGAATTCCCCACGACCAAGCTAGAGATGACCGCCGTGGCCGACATCTTTGACCGAGACGGGGACGGTTACATCGACTACTACGAGTTTGTGGCAGCGCTTCACCCCAACAAGGATGCTTACCGGCCAACCACGGACGCAGACAAGATTGAGGACGAGGTGAGAGCTTGGAGGAGGAGGTTGGGAATCCAGAGGGAGGCTGGGGGGGGGCGGGGGTAAGAGGCTGGGCTTGATCCAGAACGAGGCTGGGAGTGGGAAAGTGGTCCGTGCAGCATGCCAGCTGGGTGCCCACCTCCTCTGCCCATCTGCCCTAGAAAACCCCATCTTTGGTGCTACCTCCTGGCCTCGCCGCCGCCGCCACCTCTCCCTCAAAGAAGCTTCCATGCGCGTGGAGGCCGTGGTGATCCGTCACCGTGCCTTTGTATCCCGCCCTGTTTCCCCCTGTGTCTCCTTTGTCCGTCACTCCGTCGTTCCCCGCCTTGGGTCGCCCAGATGTTCTTGGACTACAACTCCCAGGAATCCTGGCCAGCGTCGCTGGTGGTGAAGGCTTCTGGGGGTTTTAGCCCAAGAACATCTAACTGAGCCCTTATCCCCCTCTTTCCTTCCTACATCACAGGTAACGAGGCAAGTGGCGCAGTGTAAGTGTGCCAAGCGGTTCCAAGTGGAGCAGATCGGAGAGAACAAGTATCGGGTGAGGAGGAGGAGGAAGAGGAGCACATGGTGGCTCTTAACGCGCATGGATCGTGTCTCTTAAGTCTTTAAGCCAACCGGATTTTTTTATTTATTTATTTAAGATATGTTCTGTGGGACTGTGATAGGAATGGTCCTACGTCCCAGGTGCTGAGACGTGCTTGTACGTTGGTGCTGAGGGTGGCTCACAGGGGGCAGAACCTTCCATAACAGAACTTGAAGGAACCCTGTTTGGGCCACACTCTGCCCTCCATCATCCTGTTTCCAACATTAGAAGCCAACGAGGATGTTATGAACGGCCCACCCTGGCCTAGTGCGGTGGAATAGGGAGCTTTGTCTGTTTGCCAGTGGCAGTGGTGGGACCGATCCCCTTCCATTAATCCATGCCACCCAAGCCCCCTGAACTCATGATCCCTCAATGCCCACCGTATCCTGTGGCAGTAGGTTCCATAGGTTAACCATAGGGTTGTGTCAAGAACAGTCCTTGAGGTGTTTAGGGGTCTGTTTTGCTTCACAGTCCTATTTTCCTCCGGCTCAGACAGCTTGCTTCTGCAAAACACTGAAAATGTGCTGTCCTTGTGCTTCTCATTTCAAACATGGCTCGTCCTCCCTGGGTCATCAAGAGATTTCCAGCTGAGCTTTGGATGGGTTTTTAGCCGAAGGTTAGAAATCGCTTTTGGGGGCTCCTGACTCTCCCAGCGACATGTCTGAGATCTCTTCTTTCAGCTAGCAGAGGGTCAGGATTTTGCAGGGAGACCCAGATGGAAAGGGCAGGGCCAGGGGCTGAGCGGATGCAGGGGCCAGGATAAAACCCCTCAAGCTTCTAGTCTCAAATCTGCTGCCAAAGCAGCAGGTGCCAAGCATCCTCTTCTGAGATTCCATGTGGCCTCGCCCAAGCTTGCAGCTTCTTCTGCTTGCTTGCTTTTATTTATTTTTTTAAAGGGAATAGGCAGAAACTTTTGTGAAATAAAATGAAGTTCTGCATGGGCCACAGAAGGCCCTTGCAGTTAACAAGAGGTTTTTTTTGTTGTTGTTACTGTGCTGTTAACTCTCTTCAATGTTTTCTCTCCCCTTCTCTCTCTCTGCCTCCCCCCTCCGCCCTGTGTCTCTCTCTTTCTCTCTCTCTCTTCTCGTTTGCACCTTCTCCTCTGTAGTTTTTCCTCGGCAACCAGGTACAGTGTGTCTTGCAAAACGGTTTTCTGTGTTCCATTGGCAGGTCGTTTTCCTTAAAAGGATGGCATGCGCTGTGTGTCTTTTGCAGTCCTTTCATTGCTGGGGGGTGACTGTGTTCATGCATGAACATTGCAATAACAGCTTGGATGTCCTAACTTAGCAAAGATCCTGGTATACAGGGATATATTGTTTTAAAATTGTAAAGAAAGTGACCCTACAGAGGAAGTGGGGGAACAAACTCAAAACGACCCACATGAACAGACACAACACATCTACTTTAGTCTATGAATTTCAGACTTTTTTCTACCTTTTTCACACTCCTTTAAAAAGAAGTGGAGACATTTTAAAATGATGCCTGTTACGTTTGACTTGCGTTGTCCAGCTGGTCAGCTGTTTGGCACTAGAGATTCTGAAACCCATCTACTTCCCAAAGCTCCTTGTTCATCCAGTGCTAAAATAGAAAAGTCCTGGAGAGGGTGCAGAGTTTTATTCCCTTCTCTTGCAACTGCCTGCCCCAGAGGTTGGGAGGGGGGGCTCTCCCTTCACAGACTATGGACGTTTAGACCCATCGTGGTGCCCTGTCGTTTCAGAATCCATTCGATGGTTCTCAAAGGACTGGCTGATATTTTGAGCCCCTTGGGACTGAGCACCCGGGGGCCTTGCTGTGGCCCACCGCTGTTGGTCAAAACAAAGGCCAGGATCCAATGGTATCTGCCAGCTGGAGTGCTTTCTCCAGAGTCAAGCATCTTCCTGATGTAGATCCCCGTGCACCCTAAAAAAAACCTGCACCAGGGAAGGAAAGCCCTTCTCCCCTGAGCAGGTATTGGACATCACAGAATCTCGTTAAGCCTGGAGATCAAAAAAGAAAAGAAACACTGCCTCCCAGGCATAGGAACAGTGTGCTTGGCAATAGGACCTTTCCGCATGAAGGTTGACTCCTCCGATTTTGGGGGGACACTGTTTGGGATTGCACGAGGGACCTCCCCCCCCAAGAGGCCAGGAAAGGGTGTATTCCGGAGTCTGTTGCCATGTCAGAACCCGATCCTTTTTAATGCCTGGCCTGTCTTGGTCCCCAGAAGATGCCCCCTTGTTTTGAGTCCATGATACACAAGGGACATTTCCGCCGTATATTCTGTATACCAGCATCTGGGGCGCTTCCCATTCATTTTTCATCGCTTTCGGAATGCAAACCGCTGAATCCGTCTGGATGCTTTCCTTCCACAGTTAGCGTTCAGCCTTCAAGCCTTCGGCATAGATTTTGTGAAATAACTCAAGGCAGCCAGGACATAAAAAGGAAACATATTTCACACTTTCCGAGGTGAATTATAGCTCTAGAGAGTCCCCTCGGCGCAGAGAAGACATTTGTTATTGCTGCGTCCTTTGTGGGCCGTGTCTTGATTCCATGTTGATTCGATGACATTGCCGTGAACACTTTTAATTCCCTACATAAGGGGAATTTTGCCAGCTTCTATTTTAACTATAAGACTCAGAAGCCTGCTATCAAAAGAAGACTCAAATTTTCTGAATGAGTTGTTCCAAGATGTTAAAAAAAATGGGAACAATTGATAGAACTTAATATATTCCCTAACGTTAGTAGTAAGGAAAGCCCGGCGTCCCACCGGTAAGTGAAACATGGCCAAAACAAGACGTGTTTGCACCTGGTGTGAAGGTTACTGGAAAGCAGTGATTCAATAAACCCCTGGCCTTGGAGGCGTGATTAGGAGCTGCGGAGGGACTTTTTAGGGAGGCAGGATTTGCTGCTTGGTCTTGGGGAAATCACATGGTCATCGCTTCACATTATGCAAATGTCAGACTACTAATAATCACTGCCATTAATAAATACTCTGATTTCCCCACTCCTTAATTCCTGCTGCCTCTTTGTGGGCCTGTGTGTGCCTTGGCTGCTGTGCTAAAGCTCATTTGATGCTGGGAGGGTGCAGGTGGAAGGGTGCAGAGCGATGCTGAAAAGCTTCATGAATTTTGTGGGTGCAAGGTTTCACTACGCCTCCCTGTGCTGAAATTCCTTTACTGATCTTTGTTCGAATTCTGGTTGGCCTCTCTTCAGAATGGACTATGTCAGGGGAGGAACCCAGCTGGACTTGGGGGGGCTCCCGAGAAGCATCCCAATCCACCGAGAAGGATGCCTGAGGTGCTGGGTTTATGTTCCCCTTCCGGGCCCTCAGGCCTCTCCAGGGGCCCCAAAGACCATCATGAAGGTTTTAATCTTCCAGGGGGCCCAGGAGGTGTGCAGATCCTGCGGTGGAGGATTTCAAAGGACCTCCACCTTTGATTTTCCAAAGAAGGGGCCGGGCGTAGTCCCTGTCCTGCCTCCTAGGGAGCTAGGCGCCAGGTTTCATTAGCTCAGCCTGCCCTGCCTTGAGGCTTTGTAAGCATGGCACAGGGTGCCCGGCGGTGAAGGCTCTCTCCAGCTCTTCTCCATTAATCAGGGATGCTGGAGACGGACCCGAAGCGCTTCGGCTGAGTGCCAGCTTCTGCCAAGGGTGCCTTTTTGTTCCCTTTTGGCCGAATCTTATTTTTGAAACGCCTGCCCCATTGCAAAACATTTCAGAGGCAGCAACGAGGACAGGAGAGAGGCTGGCGTCTTTGTTGTGTCGGTCCTGCCATAGTCGTATTTGGAGGGGGCACGCACACACCCCCCACTGAGTGCACAGGGCTCCCTTGTGCACACGTATGTGCTTGTTTCAACGGTGTCCCCGTTTGCTCCTGCTTCCGCAGTTTGGAGATTCACAGCAGCTGCGGCTGGTCCGTATTCTGCGTAGCACGGTCATGGTTCGTGTCGGCGGAGGGTGGATGGCCCTGGATGAGTTCTTAGTGAAGAACGACCCTTGCAGAGGTAAGAACTGAGCGCGTTTTTTTGTTTCTTTTTTTAAAACGAGGCGTGCCTTAAGACTCCCGTCATTCTCAGTTGCCAAAGAAGTTTTGCAGGAGCAGAAATGTGAGCCAGGAGAAAGAGGGGAGGACGGGTGCAGTTCCAGGGAGTCGGGGCGTTCTTGAAATGCAGTAGAGCAAGATTGCAGGCCTTGTGCAGGAGAGCCTACCCATGAATTCTGTCCATGCATTAGTGGAAGGGGGGCCGCATTTAGATTTATTCAGAACACACAGGTACGTACGTCTTGGGCTGTTTCTGTCCAGATAGAAAATGTGTTCCAGAGAGAGTCAGACTGAATGCCAAAAATAAAAAGGATGTTGTGGAATCGCTCCTGCTTTGTGAATTTTCAGAGTGAATTTTCTCTCTTTCTGGACATCGGTTGTAGTTTTGTCTCTCCAAAATGCACCCTGCCACCCTCTGCATGCTCTTGTGAAGTATCTTCCTCTCTTTTCTCTCCCTCTCTGACCCTTACTGCTGTTTCTTCTCCTGCTCTGTCTCCTCTCTCTCTCTCTCTCTCTCTGTGTCTTCTTTATTCTAGTTCACCACCCTGGAAGTAAAATTAAACGCTCTGATTCCAGCTCTTCAATTGCCAGTCAGTCTCCAATAGGTTGGCGCCTCTTCTTGGCTTCCTCTCCTCTCGGGAATGGCTTGGCTGCTCTCACCTGCCTCTTTCTTGCCGGGGCCCCAGAACCTTCATTTTTCTCAGTAGCGCTTGGGCCGCGTAGAGCGTCCAAAGCCTTCTCTCTCTCTCTCTTTTTTGGCTGGAAGCCACGCTGGGGGGGTGGTGGTCTCTGCCCACCCATATCCGGCGTTTTTGCCCTCTGCCCTTCTGGCTCAGGGCTGCCCCTTTGCTCTCCCCTCCTCAGTTTCCGAAGGGCTCGGGGTGCCTCTCCTTTGCATCCGCTTCGCCTCTTGAAGTCTTGAATGTGCTTGGCCGGGCTACGGGCACTTGCCTGGGTGAGGAGTGAGGATCGGGGCCCTGCGTCAACCTCAGGCCCACTTCCTGTTATCCAGGGTGGGCAACCTGTTGAGATTCCTTATGTCATCCTCTCTGGCCACGCTGGACCCCTGCAGGGAGGTTGAGAGAGCTGTCCTTTGGAGGCCTCTCGGGGGGCCCCCCCGCACACACACACACACCTTCTCTGCATTCCCCAAAATCTCAGGGCTCTGCTTTTCCTGCTCATTATGACTTCTGCGTTTCAATGTGTGGGAATCGTGAATGGGTTTGGCACTCTGCGAGAGACGTGCCAACGATGTCAACCTCTTGACACTCGGAGACCATCCTTCCAGTTGCAAAAGCATTCCCCAGCCACGTGCCTGCAGAGACGCCCCTTGAGGCGTCCTCTGGCCCACGGCCGTTCGGAGCATGTTTTGCCTGATGCCAGCTGCATGCCGCCATGTTGTCAGAAAACCTCTGGGATTCTTGGCGTGGCCTTGAGCCCTCCTGCTAGGCGTCGCACCAGGCCCTTGGCGGTGGAGACGCAGTCCAAAGCGGCCCTTCCTTGTCCTGGGGGTGGGATAGATCGAGCCTTTTACCGGCAGTTCTTGGGTCAACAAAGCTTTCTGCATGGTCTTGTCTTCTTAACAGAACTCTTCCTTGTTGTGTTTGTCTGGCGGCCGGTTGGTGGGTTTCCCCCCCAAACTATAAATTTTTGGATGACACGTTCCAGAATTCTGGAACTGCGGGATCCTGAGCCATAAAACACGAATCTGCCCCTCTCTTGCACTGACTGTTTGCTGGCCTTCTCTTGGGGTGGCTTAGTAGAATTCAATCATAGCTGCTTGTTCCCTGTTTGAAGTGCGTACCCCTCCTTGATTCGCTTCCCTCCCACATCGTGAGGAAAACTGGAGAGGCCCAGTCAGGGCATCTCCATGCGATGCTCTCCTGCTGCAGAAACCCAACCCGAGTGTGCTGTGCCAGCATGTGCACGGTTTGGCATCAGGCCTGTCTGCTTACAGCCTGCTGGGGGTCAAGCAACCCCTGGGACCAAAGCAGGGTTGGAAGGAGACCTTTTCGGGTGCCCTGGAGGTTGTAGAGAATAGACGGCCCTGACTCCCATCACACCATTTCCTTCTGTGGGACTTAGAATCCGAGAGGCAGAGGTGGGCATGGGCTGCCTCCGGGCCCTTCCAGACCCTCTGTGTGGATTTGCCCTCTTGGGAGTAAGAACGCCCAGGCACGGGCTCAAGGAAAGAGAGCTGCTCCTTCAGGCGGCCTCTGCGGTGGTCCCTCTGGGTGGCCAGCATAAAGGCGGTTACGCCTCCTCCCAGGGAAGAGGAGTCTCAGGATTCTTTGGGTTGTGGCGTGGCCAGCTGAGAAAGGCCTCCTCAGTCCGAGATCAGCTGCGATGGGAAAGAAAGGGTGCCACCCTTCCCGTTTTGTCCCGGGCAAACCTGCACGAGGGTGCCCGGCGCTTCTGGCTTTGAGACGGCTCGCTTCTCCTCCCTTGGATTGCACAACTTTTGGGTTTTATGCTTAGGTCTCTGTTGTTCTTCTCTTTCGACAGCCCGAGGAAGAACGAACCTCGAACTTCGAGAGAAATTCATTCTCCCCGAGGGAGCTTCTCAGGGAATGGCCCCCTTCCGGTCGCGGGGCCGGCGGTCCAAGCCCTCCTCGCGGGCAGCCTCCCCGACCCGATCCAGTTCCAGCGCCAGCCAAAGCAATCACAGCTGCACCTCCATGCCGTCGTCTCCCGCCACGCCGGCCAGCGGCACCAAGGTGAGGGGGCCGGGCTTCACGAGCGGCGCTTGGCTCCTTGGCGAGGCTCGTCTTCCTAGCCCTCGTGGAGGGGAAAAGGGCAGGCAGCGTTGGGACGGGCCAGGCGCAGGCAGAGGGTTTCCCTCCGGGAGGCCCAGCCTTGCCCGCTGAGCCCACGGCCGCTGCAGCCCATGGGTCCCTCCGCTGGGCGTGAGCTTAAGAAACCCTTCCCCTCTCGGCAGTGGTTGGCACACAAACAGGCAACACGTGCAGAGAGAGACACAAACACACAAAAAGGCAGAGATGGGGATGTGCGGGTCGCGAGTCTGACTCCATTCCCACCAGCGACTGGACTCGGGAGGTTCTGGGGACAGACTTGGACTCGACGCGCAACTCAGAACTATTTTTCCGAGTCTGTCAAGGGATATACTTAACCTGCTACGGCCGCGTCCGTCCTGAGAGGCAGCAAGCCTGGCTTCCTTTTCCGGAGTCGGGCTGGCCCTGCCCACGCGTGCACATGGAGGCGCAGAGGCAGCTGGCTGACCCAAGGGGGGGCCACCTCTGCGCAGGTGCTGGCCTCCTTTGGGCAGCACATGGCCCAAGATTCGGACTCGGGACTCGTCGACATCCCTGACGCGCCAAGCAGGGCACAAGGAAGACACGGTGTGCCCGTCGCCAGCCCCTCCTGTCATTCCTCTCCCACGGAGGCTGTTTTCAGGGCAGAGCAGTCACTGGGAGGATTTTTTGCGCCCTTCCAAGGCACGGGTCCTTCGGCATCGCCACGTGCAGGTCCCCAGAGCGAAATGGTGGAGACCGGGCTTC